GACTTGGTTAAGAAACTCTTTGTGTCTCATAGATTGTCTTCACTTTCTTCTCTTCAACAGATATTGGCACAGAGGCTACAATTATTTTCATGGTAGTTCTCTTTATATTATGTATATACTTATTTAGGTATTTATTGTTTTCCTATTAGAATGCAAACTTGTTAGGCAGCAAACATTAAGTACTTAGCTTACTATGTAGTAGACACTGTGTGAGTAGGGATCATTTCACATTTCTTGGTTTTGTTGGGTTTTTTTTTTTTACACTCCTGGTCCCTAGCATAGTGCCTGGCACACAGTAGGCACTTATAAATTCTTGTTGATTGATTGATTTACCTTGGTCTCAGTTTTCTTATTTGTAAAATGGAGACTAGGACTAGCTAACATTTAAAGTTCCCTATAGCTGTTACCCATATGCTGATGCTGGATAAATTTGTCAATGCATTCTTTTGGGATATAGGTATAAAATGCCTTTAAAGGAAATAATCATTTCATATCTATTTTTATAATTATTTTGTAGATCTCTGTAAAAGCTAAGAATGTTTTACATTTTGAAATGATCTTCAGAAGACCTTGTGTAGTGACGATTCTGTGAATTGTCAGACATGTCTGTGACAGTCCTAAAGGTATTAGAAAAGAGTCATTGATGGAGTCCATTCTCCCATGTGTGATTTATTCAAAGAACTAAGGTCTTGAAAGGTAGTAGTTTCCAGAAACTTTGTCAATGATAACCATCTTTTTTAGAAATTTGGTTTTTCATAGTATTTAATCATAAACATCCAAAGAGCTGCACTCTTCAGAGTATGTGCTAAGAAAAAGAATCATAACAACAGCTTTCCTAATAACAGGTTTTGAGTTAGTGGAAAAAGTCAGAATCAGATCAAAAAGTTATAGAATTTTAGATGAAGACTATGTTCTAACTTCCTCTAATAGATAGGGCTAGCCCTATGCCAGAAGGTTTGTAATTGGTACCTTGTTATCTGCCTTGGTTGTACTTTCCCCTTTCTTGCATGCTCCCATTTCCCTGAATACGCAGGGGACATCATACTGGTGCTAGCCCCTGACAGCTACACTATTAGATACCCTACACATACTTGCCCTGGACCTTTATCTTTATTCTAATAATACCAATAACAACAATGATAGTACTATTCTTTTTCGCTGACAATTATATAGCACTTTAAAGTTTACAAAATGCTTTACCTGTATCATTTCACTTGATCCTCACATCCACCCTATAAAGTGCTGTTATTATACCTTTTTACAGATAAGGACACTGAGAGTGACAGCAGGGGCTAAGTGACTTGCTCATGACTACTGTCTGGAATTTTATCTAATAGATGTAGATCAGATATAGCTAGAGATACACAGAGGCTGTGAGCAAGAAGAGCTGAAACCACTTGAGAGGAAGTGTCAGCTGCACAGTTTAAACCAGGACTCTTCTGACTCCAAGTCCATTGTTCTTTCCACCACACTGCATTGCTTCTCTTGTTAGAATTACCTGTTGTGTATCATCTCATGCCCAAAAGAGAGATGTTATCAGCCCTTTCATATTGTAAAGTATTTCATAATCTAATTCATGCTAAAGTGTTGAAGGTTTCTGCTTATTTAATATGTTTCTCCTCCTGGAGTTATGTATGTTTACCATAATCCAGAGGAATGAATCTGAAACAGTATTTCGGACATCTGTAAAAGTCTAGTAGGGAAGCTATTTGGGAATAGGAAACCTTTCCAGGAATAGGAAGTCTTCTCGAAATAAGATACATGGGTTATCATCTACTCTACCCTTGCATATGGCCAGCCTTATTGAGAAATTATCATTATAATAAATTAAGAATGGTCACAGTGTCAATATGATAACTTCTCAAATCTAAAACTGAAATTATGTGAATTATTTTGAGAGTCTATAGAAATCAAGAGTTTTTGTAGGTAGTGCTTTATAGTTAGCAAAATATTAGACATATGTTATCTTGTGTTATCCTTATAATACCCTGTAAGGTTTTTAGTGCAAGTATTATTCCCATTTTGCATATGAGAAAACTGTGGCTTATAGATTAGGCTTGACCAAGGTTATATAGCTATCAAGTTACAAAGTCACTTTATTATATTTGTAATAATAAAAGAATGTCTTTTTATTTATAGATTTTTGAAAACTGTGCTTGTTTCTTTTTTAAAATGTTTCTTTTCTAATATCTACAGTTTATATGTGTTTATATGTTTATAAAGTTTTGCTTTATTTGGTGACACAGCTTAGGTTAAAACAAAGACCTGGGTTTGATTCTCTGCAATAAATTGAGACTCAGGAAGCTGATATAAACAAGAGATTTATTATTATATAGCACAGCAAGCCTGGGGGAACAAAGCATACACACAGATACCTTCTATGGCAGTATTGGGAGACAGAGGTTTGTCCCCAAGAGGGCAAGAAACTCACCCAGATCACAAAGGAGTGAGATGTCAGAGCTGGGGTTCAAGTAGGGAATTTAGATACCCTAAAAATGGTCTTGGTGGAGAAGAGGTAATCAGTGCCAAATGTGGGAGGAGACATTCCTAAATAATACCCAAATGTGGTGAAGTTCTTGAGGTCACTTATTGATACCAGGTTTGAGTAAGACTCAGGTAAGGGGAGTTTCTTTGTTGGGAACAGAAATTGGGAGAAGGTCTGAGTTGACTTTCTGAGGCAGCAAAATAAAGGAGTAACTCAGCCTGCTGCACTTGACCTGGAGTATTTTCCACTCAGAAGCTGTGAGCATTAGGTCAGAAGAGTAGCAAAGTACAACCTTGACTGTATTTACCTATAGAATTTATGGACCTCAGGACCATTTAGCCTAAGTAACCTCATATTTGAGTCTTATCATTATACTTATAATATCAAATACTAAAAATCTACAATTATCACAAGTTTCTTTAATTGAAGTATTTTTCTAATTAAGCCAACGTAAAATCTAGAATTGTAAATATATAATATATACATGAATATATGCATATATAAATGGAGAAAGAATATAGTATTGCTATATTTTAAGGCAGGAAGAAATGGGTTCAAATCTCATTCTCTGTGTACCAAATGCCTCTGAACATACACACATATATACATACATATTTATATGTATTATAAACATATGTTTACACAAAGAAGAGGGAGAGAGAGAGATCACCAGAAGAAAGAGCTTTATTCACCTGATAGAATTAATAAGATCTTTGTTCTAACAGACTTTGAAGCTGTGCCCCCAAAGAGAGTGCAAGTATGCCCACTTGACCCCATAATTGGGGATATTGTTCATATTTGAAAAGTAAGGGATGTCTTTTTCCTGGCTCCTTAGTGGCCTACTGATACCACATTGATCATTGACTGAGACCTGGCTGGTGTGAATCTGAACCGTGCCCCTGAGGCCTTTAAAGGGGAACAGAGACATTGGGATTCCTGAGTGTGGTATCAGTGGACATCTAAAGCAAATACCCTACCTTGCCAAGAAGATGTGACCAAAATGCTAAATATAGTTCTATTGAGCAAGTTCACTCCATATACATTAGAGATATCTTCAAATCCAGAACAAAATCCTTATCTTTCAACCATGTCAAGTTACCTAGGCTCCTTTTGATCACACCCTTTACATATTATACATACACATGTATGTCTGTATATTTCATTTAGAGAGAGACACAGAGATATTTTTGCATCTATATTAAATGTATAGAAAGAGCTTTTTGCAAATGACATTGAACATTTGTCCTCCCTTTTCTTTTCCTAGCATATATTTACTAATGTATCACGTAAGATCTTTTCGAGGTTTTGTTCAGTGTCAAGTTTTTCATTACTTAAGACCTCTTCTAGTAATGATGCTATCAAAGAAAGGTTTAAGAAAGATCTAACTCAGAATCTGGGGAATAGATCCACATTCTCCTCCTCTCTTACCTCCAAGTTTACTTCCAGGACAAAAGAAGTTTCCATATCATCATCATGAACAGTAACACACATTTGCTCAGTTCTTTGCTGGGTTCACTTTTGTGCATTTACTATTACAAATTTGGAGAGAAATATCTTTTTTTGAGTGTGAATTTAAATAAGAACATTATATATAAGGATACTCTCTTTTGGTGATGTTTTCCCCACATGCTTTATATGTATGTTGCAACATTTGCCTCCTATCTGTACTATCCTATTTAAGCTGTCTTCTGAAAAGGAAACTGTACAACTTTAATCGTTATCAAGAGTATTCTCCCATTTCATCTCCTCTTTTCCACTTCTATGAAATTGTTATAAGAATTGAAGAACTGACGCCAGTCTCTTTCCTTCTTTCTTTACAAGTTACGGTAGGAAGCAGGATTTCACTTAATTTTGTTACTAAAATCTACATAACCACCAAGCGTGTATTTAGAAACTCAAATGAAATTGGTTTCTGTCTAGATTAAAAAATATTTCAATTGTAACAGAAATGTAGGCACTGTTTTCATATAATACTCTCTGCCCATCCTAGGAATTTTTGTAGTGTATTTAATCATTTCCAGATATTTTCTTTTCCATTTTGCTCACTGTAAGTTGAGTTCATTTTATGTTTAGACTGTCTGTAGCTTAATGAAATAAAGTATTAATATTTTAAGTTAATTATTTTAATGTATGGGATATGAAATTGATTTTATTTTTAGAGAAAAATGTTATATTGATAAAAATTGAAATAAAAGGGTAAGATTTGCTTAGAGTAGAAGAAAACTATTTTCAAAACCTGAGACATTGACTTCTATGCTAACAAAGTTCACATATCTCTTTGTATATAATTAATTGTGATAAACTCTTGATTCTTTTAATAATAGTATTATTTTCTTAGACCAATAGATTTTCTGTTGAAGGATTAAAGTCAAACTAAACTAGTATCTAAGTTTATTAGTAATTTCTCTGGATGTCTGCAATTTTTAAAAAGATTTTTTGAATTCTGTGTATTATCTCAAGTTCCTTATTCCTCATTTACTTCTTTGTTCTCAAGAATATTTTAACGTTATTTCAGATGCGGCAGGAGTTGAAAAAAAGTATAGCCAGGGAACTTCGTGAAGGTATGTCCAAATTGCTGATAAATAAAATGTTATAATTTGATGCTATACCTGATTTTTAAATATGCTGAAAAACTCACACAAAGGTGCTGTTTCAGTGCCACCTCCCTCTTTCAACACTTTGAAGTAACCTTGGATTTGTCTCTGCAATTGAAGTGCAAGCTCTAGCAGATTCTTTTAGTAAGCTAGAAGCATAGCACAAGCCCATAGACTGTATCTGTTTCCAGAAGACAAGCCTGACCACTTACAGAGAGGCTTAGATCCAGAAGGTTGATCAGTAGGTAATGAAGTCTTTGGCCACAGCATCCCATGAAACAGAAGGATAATTTGTCCTCAGTCCTGTGTAGCTCCTTCTGATCTTCAGGTGTAAAGTTAGTCAACCACTTTTGGGGAATGCAATCAAGAAGTTGCTAGTCAAGATTTGTTTGGACTAGAGAACCATTGAAGTCATATCCAAGCCTAAGATCCTATTATTCTGTTTAATTCTGTGATTCCACAGTGATTTCAGAAGAGTGACGGAAAAGAGGGCAAAAGATACTAAGAATCCCACAATTCAAAAACCATCTACAAATATCAGTTTAATTGTTAGAATCTTAATTTACAGTCTTTGTCCAGTGACCAACAGTACTGAAAGAACTAAATAATATTCATATTGACACCCTGCTATCAATTTAACCAGAAAATAGAAAGAAGTTGTAGCTAAATGGAAGTGTGATTCTCACATTTCCCTCAAATAGGCAAATAAAATAATTGGCATGGTGGGTTTCATTGTGAAACCAAAGGCAATACTAAACATAATTAAATAGGAAATAGAGCTCAACATGTGCATAAGCAAACAGACCACCATGAACATAATTAGAATTGCAGCTTATCTACTGACTACTATTTCAGAGGATAAAAAAGAAATATTATGTGAACAATTTTGTGAGTTGCTCAAAAATCAATGTGCTTTTTAAGTATAATAATAGTGACTCACCTTTGTATAACACTTCAAACTTTTTGCATACATTGTCTGATTTGAGTTTCAAAACAAGACTATGTGGTAGGTGACTTCCAGGAAAACTTGAGTTCAGGTCCTCCCTATGATACATAGTGTATTTGAGACCGTGGGCAAGTCACTTTACTTCAAAGTGCTCAGGAACTTCCAAGATTAAGTTGGACCAGTGACTGTTTTCATGCTTCTCACACCCATGATGAATCATGAATCCTAAGAGAAATAGAAAGATTAAATGCATACATATGTGTGTGTATAATATAATTTTTTTTTCTTCCTTTTTTCCCCCAGCTGAATTTTCTAATGAATCCTCAAGAATGCCAAATTTGAATCAGGATCCTGTTTCCCTAGCAACTCAGGAATACTTAGAGATTTTAAAGAAAAAGTACATGATATAAAGCAAGAAATAATGTTTGTTCATGAAATGAACTGTTTACATAATATTTAATCATTTTCCATTAAATATGTAAAAGTGAAAAAAATCTAATGTATTAGAAAATATATTGTGTCATGAGTTTTAATATGTACAGTGTGCATATATGTGTATGTAAATATATTTGTATAGTTCTTTATTAAAAACTTTATTTCTTTATATTTGTAACACTGCACCCAAAATTGTTAGTTGTTACAGGGACTCCAGAAAACACAAAATTGACTGTAATACTTTAGCTATCTGTCTTTGAAGGTTTTCCTTTGTTTTCTATTTAATATCATTGTATGTAGACCTAAGCATTTAGTAAATTTAAGTAGAACTATTTTGATATACTGCTATTATTTCTGCTATCAGTATTTGAATTTTAATTTATCTGTAACAGTGCCATAAAATTTATAAATTGTATATTAACTTGTATTTTAAATTATTTAAAATGACAGTGCACTTAAAACTTTTTTTGTTTTTAAACTTTAATTAAATGAATCAAATATATTGTTTGTCTTACAAATTATATGATAATGATGCTTTTCTTTATGAAGTCTCCAGTTGCAAAACCTAGGTTCGCTCAAATCCTAATTTCACTATACATATTTTTTCTTGAGACTGTACAGTTGGTCACACCACTACTTGATGCTCAAATCTGGCTGCTGCTTATTTTTGTACTGCAAGCTAAGAATGACTTTCAACTTTTTAAATAAAGTCTTACTATATTTATTGTAAAAGCATTCTTAACTCTCCAGCCAAACAGCACCAGGGATTGTTGGTATTTAGCCAGCTTGCCATAGTTTGCCAACTCTTGAGTTAAACCATCCATGAAGGAAATTTCCACATCAGGGGTTTCCTATGATGATGAAATCATAGGTTGGGCCAAGTATTTGTGTAGACGTGCACACACACACCCTTTGTGTGCCAGACTTTCACTTCATTCCAGATAATCATTCAACAGACATTTATTGCTTACCTTTTATGTGAGAGGCACTCTGCCTCTCACTGTAAGAGATACCTAGATGAATAAGATATGGTCTCCCTGTCCTCAAAGAACAGTCTTGTAGGGAAAAAAAGATCATCTATATATAATCCTAAATTAGAGTATAAAATATAATTAGAAAGGTACAAAGCAGTATGGGAAGAAAGAATTCAAAGTATTTTAACAAAGGGAATAAATTCGGTAGGACTGAAGACACTGTGAAAAGAGATCATAGGTCCTGGTTGAGGGGGCGGAGCCAAGATGGCAGAGTGAAAGCAGTGACTTCCTTGAGCTCTCCCCCAAACCCCTCCAAATATTCATTAAAAAAATGGCTCTAAACAAATTCTAAAGCAGAAGAACCCAAACAAAGACAGAGTGAAACAAATTTCTAGCCCAAGATAACCTGGATGATTGATCAGAAAGGTATATCGCACTGGGCCGGGAGCTGAGCGCAGTGCGGCGTGGGCGCGCAGGCTGCAGCAAACCTGGAGCCGATTTCAGAGGACTGAATCACAGGCGGCTGTGGTGCTTTCCAGACTCCTCAATCTATGAATGCCAAAGACAATTTAAAAGGTCAGTGGGAAAAGTCTGTTTCTGCACTGAGAGAGGAATGCGGGGTCTCAGCTCCATTCCCCAAGAGCATGACCCTGGTGGGGCAGCTGTCTCCTGAGCTTCTGGCCCACCGACTGAGGGAGAATCCAGTGGCTGATCAGAGAGGAATTGCAGGGATCTCTTTGCCAGTGCTGAGGCAAGAATCTCATGCTTTGCCCATGTTTGGATCTGGGTCACAGTTCTGGGCAGTGGTCCTGGGGTGAGGAGGAGTGCTGGTGTGGTGGAGATTGTAGTAGCTGTGGAGAGAAACCCTCCTCACAGTTACAGGACAGAAAGGAGTACTTGTGGTCACAGGCCAGGAAAGGAGTAAACACCTCGCCCCTTATCATACCACCTTGGAAGGACTGAAAATTTACAGGTCCCCAAAGCTTGGGACAGTACATTCTCCACATTGGAAGCAGACTCTTACCTTAACAAAGAGTTTAAAACTCAAGTAATTGGCCAGGATCATAAGCAAGCAAAAAGAGTCAGACTATATTACCTTACTTTGGTGAAAAAGAAGATCAAAATACACAACCAGAAGAAGACAACAAAGTCAGAGCTCCTACATCCAAAGCCTCCAAGAAAAATATGAATCAGTCCCAGGCCTTGGAAGAGCTCAGAAGGGATTTTGAGAAGCAAGTAAGGGAAGTAGAGGGAAAACTGGAAAGAGAAATGAGAGTGATGCAAGAAAATCATGAAAAACAAGTCAACAGCTTGCTAAAGGAGACCCAAAAAAATACTGAAGAAAATAATACCTTAAAAAATAGCCTAAACCAAATGGCAAAAGAGATCCAAAAAACCAATGAGAAAAATGCCCTAAAAAGAAAAATTGGCCAAATGGAAAAGGAAGTCCAAAAGACTACTGAAGAAAATACTTCCTTAAAAATTAGAACAGAGCAATTGGAAGATAGTGACTTTATGAGAAATCAAGACACTGTAAAACAAATCCAAAAGAATGAAAAATTAGAAAACAATGTGAAATATCTCATTGGAAAAACAACTGACCTGGAAAATAGATCCAGGAGAGAGAATTTAAAATTTTTGGACTATCTGAAAGCCATGATCAAAAAAAGAGCCTAGACATCATCTTTCAAGAAATTATCAAAGAAAACTGCCCTGATATTTTAGAACCAGAAGGAAAAATAGAAATTGGAAGAGTCCACCGATCTCCTCCTGAAAGAGATCCCCAAAGGAAAACTCCCAGGAATATTATAGCCAAATTCCAGACTTCCCAGGTCAAGGAGAAAATATTACAAGCTGCCAGAAAGAAACAATTCAAGTATTGTGGAAACACAATCAGGATAACACAAGATTTAGCAGCTTCTACATCAAAGGACCGCAGGGCGTGGAATATAATATTCCAGAGGGCAAAAGAGATAGGATTACAACCAAGAATTACCTACCCAGCACAACTGAGTATAATCCTTCAGGGGAAAAAATAGTCATTCAGTGAAATAGAGGACTTTCAAGCATTCTTGATGAAAAGACCAGAGCTGAATAGAAAATTTGACTTTCAAATACAAGACTCAAGTGGAACATGAAGAGGTAAACAGGAAAGAGAAGTCATAAGAGACTTATTAAGGTTGAACTGTTCACATTCCTGCATGGAAAGATGATATTTATAACTCATGAGACCTTTGTCAGTATCAGGGTAGTTGGAGGAAAAACAGTATATGTATAGATAGACAGACAGATAGATAGATAGATAGGTAGATAGATAGATAGAGGGCACAGGGTGAGTTGAAGATTAAGGGGTCATATATGGAGAATAAAATTAAGGGATGAGAGGATTATACTCATAGAAGAAGAAAGGGAGAGGTACAATGGGGTAAATTATCTCACAAAAAAAAAAAAAGTCTCTCACAGTGGAGGGGAAACGGAGGAAGGTGAGAGGGAATGAGTGAATCTTATTCTCATAGGATTTGGCTTACAGAGGGAATAACATACACAGACAATTGGGTATGGAAATCTCTCACCCTACAGGAAAATAGGGGGGAAAGGGGACAAGAGAGCAGGGGGATGATAGAGAGGAGGGCAGATTGGGAAAGGGGGTAATCAGAAGTAAATACTTCTGAGGAGGGACAGGGTCAAAAGAAAGAATAGAATAAATGGGAGGGCAGGATAGGATTAAGGGAAATAGAGTTGGTTTTTCACAACCTGTCTACTATGGAAGTGTTTTGCATAACTGCACATGTATAACCTATATTTGAGTTGCTTGCCTTTTCTTTCTTTTTTTTTTTGTTGTTTTGTTTTTAGGCAATTGGGGTTAAGTGACTTGCCCAGAGTCACATAGCTAGTAAGTGTCAAGTGTTTGGTCTGAGTCCGGATTTGAACTCAGGTCCTCCTGACTTCAGGGCTGGTGCTCTATCCACTGCACCACCTAGCTGCCCCATGAGTTGCTTGTCTTTTCAATAAGGGTGGGTGGGGAGGGAAGAAGGGAGAATATTTGAAACCTAAAGTTTTAAGAACATATGTTTTAAAAAAATGTTTTCACATGCTACTGGGAAATAAGAAATACAGGAAATGGGGTACAGAAGTCTATCTTGCCCTACAGGAAAATAGAAGGGGAGGGGATAAGAGAAGAGAGGAGAAATAGAAGAGAGGACAGAAGGGATATTCAGAATGCATGCTATCTTGGGATGGGGGAGGGGTGAGATGGGGTGAAAATTTGGAACTCAAAGTCTTGTGGAAGTAAATATTGAAAACTAAAAATAAATAAATATATATTTTTTTAATAAAAGGAATCCCAGTCTTTAGGGTTTGGCAGCTTTCATAAGACCCAGAGTCACCACACTATACCCTGTAGACCAGAAGCATTTCTATATGGAGATAATGGGGTCATGCCTCTCTAGGTTTCAGTGCAGAGTGTCCCACTTAATTATCTGTTAGCTATAATTAATAAAATTGATTACTAATTATTCAGAAAAAAAGAGATCATAGATACGAAGCTGAAATGCCTTTAAAGGTCATCTGGTCTAGAAGTTCTTAACCTTTTTTGTGTCATAGAGCCACCTGAAAGTCTGATGAAGCCTATGGATTTCTCAGAATAACAGTCTGAAGTGAATAAAACTCAAAGAAACAAAAGATTATTGAATATATAAGCGTCATGCTTTTCTTATCAAATATCAAAGTTCAAAGAACCTCCCAAAATCTATGCCCAGATCCCTTAGGTGTCTCTGGACCCCTGATCTAGTTAAACCCCTTATTTTACTGATAAGGAACTGAGGCCCAGATAGCTTAAGTGAATTGCCCAAGGCTTGATATTATTGTGCATTTTAGTCATGACCAACTCTTCGTGATCCCATTTGGGGTTTTCTTGGCAGAGATACTGGAGTGGTTTGGCATTTCCTTCTCCAGCTCATTTTTCAGATGAGGAAACTGAGGCAAGCAGGGTTAAATGACTTGCCCAGGATTACACAGCTAAGTGCCTGAGGTCAGATTTGAATTAGGGTCTTTTAACTTGGCCCAGGGCTCTATCCACTGCACTACAAGGTTACATAGGTAGTGAGAGTGAGTAACTGGGATTCGAAGTTAAGTTCTCTGACTACAAGTTCCACACTCTTTTTTTATTATAAATATCCACATTTCCACATACAAACAAAAACAGAAAAAGGATTGTATATTAAATTGAATCTTTATTGCATGCAGCTTTTAAAATAGATATATTTTTCTTTTTAAAGTATTATTGATGTATTTTATTTTTATGTTACATTTTCCTATTGAGAGGTCCCTTATAATAAAGTAAAATTAAATTAAACAAAACCAACAATACTGTGACTTCATCTAAAAGTGCATATAAAATTTCCACATCTGTAGTTCCCCTTAACCTCTTTATTCTTAATTAACAGAAATCTATTCCCCTGCCCCATCCTATCCCTACCTCTTTGGAAAAAAGAAAAGGAAAACTTCCTGGTAACAAGTAGGCATAGTCAAGCAAAACAATTTTTTCATTGGCTGTATAGAAATAAATAGAGTGTCCCAAAAATCTTAGTGCCATTTTAAGCTGTAATAACTAAAGGTGTGAATGCTAGAAACTTACAAAAAACATAATTTTAAACTTTAGTTATTTAAATTTTTATACTTAGTTTTATGAATTTTGAATAAACAATTTTAATTTTAACAAGACAGGACATGCTGCCAGTATGTATTCCTAGCGTAACA